TTACGCTCACCCTGGGCGGCTACACAGCCAGCGACATCACCACCAACAACGTCAACTGCACCCTCAAGACCGGCACCACCTGGACCTGCAGGAACCTGGTTGCCGGTGACACAGTCGTCACGTTCTCGGGCAACAAGGCCGGTGAGGGGGTGCGCGAGGTTGCATGCCCAGTGTTGACGACCAATCGGGCGCAGCGAGCCGCAAGGGCTTGCCGAGCTCGCCACTCAAGCACGCAGGCTCTGCTGGCTGCTGTGGCGGTGCCTTGCCAGGCCTGGCACCACATGTTCAAGGGTGTGACCGACAACACAGCGCCCCTGCTGCACTCCCCGTCTTCTCTTTTGGGAACTGTCGCACTGCACAAATGCCACCTGCAGGCTGCGAGCAAGCAGATACTGTGGAGATTGGCGTGACGGGTGCGCAGACGGCACAGCGAATGGCCCACTTTGTCTTGTGCCTGCTGGACCAAGCTTGGAATCTGCCAGGTTGCCTGCCCCCCACACATGCCTGCTCACGCTTTGTGCAGCATTGCGCCGCTCCTCACGTTTGTCTCCTTCGCGTTGCACACCCCAAAGACTTTGTGTTGCTGTCAAAGCACACACTCACATCAGGCATTGCCTGCGCTCCCTTCCGCGCGCTTGGCAGACTGCACCGCCTACGTCTTGAATGCTGGCGCTGACCTCACCGTTGAGGCTGACGCCACCACCGGCACGGGCTCCACTGATGTCACGCTCAACCTGGGAAGTTACCCTGCCAGCGAAGTCACCGTCGACAATGCCAACTGCAGTTTCAAGACCGGAGCCACCTGGACCTGCAGGAACCTGGTTGTGGGCGACACTACCGTCACCTTCAGTGCCACGCATGCCGGTAGGATGCCCCATGGATTGCGTGCACGACGTCGACACTGGTGCACAGGCAGGCTTGGCAGCGGGAGAGGCGGTGTGATAGAACGATCTTGACCCTATGCGCGCCCATCATGACACCGTTGCCAGAGAGTACCCACCAGCATCACAGCACCCAGCATTGTTTTGTTTATTGGGGCCATTCACCCACCGGCATCCCTGCAGGCTGCCAGAAGTCAGATGCCGTCAAGATATCTGTAACAAGTGGGTGGTGGGCGCGGCACAACTGTGTGCAGTGCCTGTGACGCGTGCTGGTCTCATGCTTGTCAACACCAATGTTTGCTGGCTCGGCTGGCGCTTGCCCACACCATTTGTCTGCATCCACCATCTCTGGCGTCCTTCCTGCAGCACAGTGTACCGTACCAGCCTGGTCAGCCAATTTGGCAATCACAACCTTGCTGTTGGCTTGATTCCTACAATGCTTATTGCTTTGTATGCATCTCCACCACGACTAATATCCCTTCTGCTCTCCTCGCGGCATTGTATCCTTTGGCTGCGGCCTTCGACCTGGATGCCTGCCTGATACTTGCAGAGAAGCCTTCGCCTCCGGTGGGTCGACGGAAGGGGCGTGCATGTCCATTTGCATGTTTGAGTTGTGCTTTTTTGTCAGGACCCTTGCCAGTTTGCTGCGGCTTGGTCATGTGCGGCCTTCACACCTTGCTTCCACCGGTGGTTGTCGCTCGCAACATTCAGGTAGTTGCTGGGACTGTAGTGGTGAACGGTCAGCCCGTTCAGGTGGCCACTCAGGAGGTCACATTTGCCTCGGACCCGGCGGGTGTGACAAGTGTGCTCCAAGCAACAGCTTGGTGGTGAGTCGGCGTGATTTGAAGCGATTACTGTTTGCCACTGCGGCGGTCCGCCCACCACGCAGCGGGTCTGCTGCGCGCACCTGAGCGATAGCGTTGCAGCTGTCATTGTTGGGCGACACCAACGCCCATCGTGGACCCCGCCGCGGCACCTTCTCCATCGAACCTGCTGTGCCCTTTGCTCCACAGGGGTAACTCTGACAAGGCCCTGCAGGTTGCGCAAGGCTTGGCAAACATCAACAGTGCACCAGGAAACACTGTGTATGTTGTTTATCAAGTGAGCGCATGGTGGCGCTGATAGTTGGGCACCCCTTGCTGACTTTTGCCTACTGGTTCGTCCAGACAGCGCGTCGCATGGCCTGGCATTACCTACTGTCACAAGTGCTTTTCAGCTGGCTAGTTGCACCAAGTTCAATGACGAGCCCAGTCACACAAAGCCACAATGAATGTTGGCGGCTTCCACATGGGCTGCTAGGCACATATTGCTCTGAAAGGAACTGCCTGCATGCCGGGCCGATCCTGCCACACACTGGGCTCCTGACCTGCCACTTTGGCCTACCTTCTGACGCACCCATCCTGTCCTTTCCGCATGTTCAGACCCGCGACATCACACGGCGTAGGGCGTTGCTGGCGCAGACGATGCGCCAGCTGCTGGCCACCACTGTCCTGGACGCTTGGGCAGTTGCTGGCACAAAAGTCACCCAAGCCCTGGCCCTCCCCAGCACCACGCGAATCCAGCTTGCTGTGGATGGCGCTACGGCTGCGCCACCCAAAGTGGTAGTCAGCCAGGGCTCTGTGATGAACGTGACGCGTGTGCCGATCGCAGACATCTCCCTGACCATCACACCTATCGCTCCCGCAATGTGAGGCTCGGCAGTGCTGCAATCACAGCAGGCATTGTGGCGGGCAGGGGTGATCGCTCATGCGTGCTGCAGCCAAGTGCAGCCAGCCCACCACGCCCGAAGGTCCTGCATCGACAACCTGCATCCATCATACTTGAAGAATCGTCAGCTGCAGCTTCCTTTTGTCCATTAAGCTGTGCCTCCCGCATGGTGCTGGAATTTGTTTGGCAGTCGAGTAGCCACAACCTTGTCGACCCAACTAGGCCACTCAACCCCAGTGCTCTCTGACAAGCTTGCTGCTGACGTACACACTTCAATTGGCTCATTGCGCTGTCAATCCAACGCAGGTGCATATCTGACAACCTCACCTGCACGAGCTTCGAGCCTTTCAAGAGCCCCGCGCCCTGGACCCTGCCACCTGGCAATGGCAACAAGACGGTGTACGTCTGGATCCGCGATGCAACAAACAAAACCTCAGCCACACCAGGCTCTGCCACAGTTATGCTGGACTCTAAAGCGAGCCTGCTGGGTCTGGCGGACCCTGCGAGTGCCATCACGAGCAAAAACAAAGTGATACTGGTCATCACGGCGGTTGCAAAGCAGATGTGAGTACCAGGGTATTAGTATGCTATGATAGTGCAGACATGTTGCTGTCCAAGGTAAGCCTGTCGTCTTTGAGTGTGCGGGTTTACTCATGGTGCCACTACTCAGGCCCCTTCGTCTTTTCCCTTGCCTTACAACAGAGCCTTTATGCCGCCAATTGCGACGGTTGCCCACCATCTCCCCAAGCAAGCCTCCCCTTGCGTGCTGTTCCGCTGCGTGTGCAGGTGCCTCACCACCAAGCCCCTCACTTCACCTAGCCGCTGCCGCTCCTGGGAGCCATACAGCGCCACAAAGTCCCTCAAGCTCGCCGGCGAAGGCGAACGCACCATTACTGCCTACTTCAGGAACTCTGAGGCTGATGAGAACCCCTGGGGCCCTGCAACCGCAAGCATCCTGGTCGACCGCACCGTCCCCAGGATGCCCGCCAAAGCCATCAACCTAGCTGGCAGGTTCAGCGGCGGCAACAGCACTGGCAACCTCACCATCACATTCATTGCGGCCGCGACCGACAATCCCACCAAAAAAATCAAGGGCTCTGGTGTGAAAGATTACCTCCTGGTGTACAACTCCCAAGGGGACGTGCCAGCAGCCAAGTGCGCGGGTTCGTCTGCTACCACCAGTCTTCCCATCACGTACTCGGCAGGCGGCAAGACCGGCACTGCGACGGTGGCAGTCCTTGCAGGGGACGTCAAAAAGTACAGGTTCAGGCTCTGTGCGCGCGACAACGTGGGGTTGGTCGCATCCGGCCTGACCCTTGTTGTCAAGCCTCAGTAAGGGGGTCACTTTGATTTGAAATGACCCCCCCAAAAAATATGGCAGGGCTCAAGCACAGAGGGGAGCCGCTCTTTGTCCCCTCTGTGCCTGCCTGCTGCACGCACGTCGCGCAAAATTGGAGGAGCGCTGCGAATCCTGCGGCCGGAAGGAATACGCAGCACGACGCCCTCCCTCTTAACCACGGGGGCACGAATGGATTATCAGCAGCTGCTGCACAGTTTGCGGCATAATTGAGCCTGTTTCTTGGGGCTGGTTGCATCAAAAGGCTTTCATCAACTCGCCCTGCTGCCAATGGTCGGCATGGCACCTTAAAAACCTCACATTTATACGCTGAAGCATTGACTGATCTGCTACTGCCACACCCGCGTGCACCATGGCGCACTGCAATGCTTCTCCTAAAGCAGCCAGTGCACGCTTCCATTGATTCGCTTGCCCATCGTAGTGCGGCGTGCCAAAGCTGAAGCTGATTGCACTGCCAGCATGAATGGCGCCTTTGGTGCAACGACGCAGCGACGTCCTAGCCCCATGCACGTCGAGCGTGCTAGCTGTTGGTCTGATGAATGACTGGTGACGGGCGCGGCTCTCTGAGTGCACGCCCCTCCTGCCAAGCAGTCTGCATTGTGAAGAGAGTACTGCATCCAAACCACCTCTGCGCATCCACACGCTTGCGCAGATTGCACTTCAACATTCCATGCGCAGATATTTGTCGTGAGAACACGCGATAATCTCCTTGCAAGGAGGTTTGATTGTGTGGCAGACGCAACCGCACCGCTGGGTTGCCGAATGTATGTATTGGGGATTCTGGGCTTTTGAATGCCAGCGCTGAAATAGGTGGCAGGCCGCTGATCGCTTGCGGAATGGTGTTGTGCAGGCCACAGCAAGTGAGGGTAATGTGTCGAGACCGCAGGACGCGGGGGCAGCAAGGCCCAGCGTGGCCATCGATGTTGCCACAACCTTGTCTCGGCACTTCGAGCTGATTCGTGTTTCCGGGCAGCTCCAGATGTATACATACATAAGGCACCTGAATGCTCATGCGGAGCTCTTGTGGCTGATGTGATCCTGCGTCGCCCACACACTATCATCAAACCCTGACATATGTGCACGCTGTGGATCATGGGCTGTAATGTGATCATAATGAAAGGGAAGCACATTGATGTGATGTCACGTGTCACGGATGACTAAGGCTGTAACGCTTCAGGTTGCGGGCATGCTTTGCCCTCATGCACATCCCTACCAGCTGAAATTGTGTTGCATCAGGGGGCATAATTCTGAGGTACACGTTACACTTGTATATCTTGCAAGGGTGGCGGGCGGTGGTACGATATGAGACAATCAAGTTGAGTGAACAATCGCTGAACAATTGCCAGCAGTCTGTCGCTTAGTTATAACCTCACAAGTTGTTTTGAGGCGGAAATTCTGGCTGCGTGACCCGAGGTGAGGTGTGTTATCTGTCACCAGTTGGGCAACGTGGGAAGGGGTGGCTGCCCCGACGTCTGCGCCCGTTGTGAAAGCTGATTGGGTGCCCAGCGCGCGGTCTTTTCTACTCTACTCTGCTGTACTCTGCATCACTCTACTGTACTCTACTCTACTCTACTCTACTCTACTCTGCTCTAATCTAAGCTTCTCTACTCCCCTGTCTACTCTACTCTCCCGTCTACTCTACTCTACCGTACTCCACTCCACTCCACTCCACTCCACTCCACTCCACTCTACTCTACTCTACTCTACTCTACTCCACTCTACTCTACTCTACTCCACTCTACTCGGAGGTGTCTGTGGTGCCCCCCCTCTCCCGGTCGGGTATGATACTGTACCGTCAGCTCGCACAGTGGCACACACTTGCAACAGCGAGGCCATACGTCGCGCCTTCGCTTCGTTTTCTTGCTCAAGGCACTTTGAAGATACACTACCCGTAGTACAATATTTTTTGACCTTACCTCATCATGATAGCCAGCACGATCTGTAAAATCATGAGTTTGATCTCGGAAATCAGGCGGGGAGTAGCGACGAGTAGCGCTGAATTATTTGCTATAGCAAATTCAGATAGAACGGAGCCGTACGGCAACATCATCTCGCACAAATGTCTGCTCCAGCAGGTGAGGGGCAATCCTGGATCCCCCAGTGCCGCCGCTTACAGTACTGCTTGGACAGGTGTTGCATGCTGCCAACCTGGTGGGTGAGGCTTACCAGGAGCTGCCACTGATGAGAGCCATCTGCTTGTTGGACATTCATATGCAATCCAGGCCGATGCAGCAGCAGCCGTGCTCCGACCCCTGCTGGAGCAGACTTACCAGCTGGGGCGCCGACAGCAGGCGCCTCCTGCGGCGACCCAGCCGGCTGGCGGCGGCGCAAGCTCAGCTGGATCGCACCCTGTTGTTGCGGTCTGTATCCCGCGCTCAGCAGCCTACGTAACAGCAGTTCTTACAACGCTGATATCGGGGTGAGCACCGGCTTTGGCGACGCCTGGCTGCTCCCAGGCGGCGTGTGATGTGTCTGGCGATTCTCTGCTTTGTGCGCACCTGGGCCGGGCAGAGTCCAGAAGCAGCCTCGGTCCGCGCTTGTGACACACGTTGGCAAATGCCTGTCATGGCGGCAGCGAGCTTGCAGGCATATGTGCTACTACCTCCACCATGGTTGTTTGCCCCCTGCACACCCACCACAAGGAGACGCCCTCCCCCACCACTTGCTCAAACCCCCTCGCAGAGCCGCCTTCCTCCCTCTAGACCCCGCCCTCCCCACGCAACGGCTCAAGGAGCTGCTAGAGCGCGCCCAGCCCGCCGTACTGCTGTACGATGCGTCCGCGCCGCCCCCGCCGGGCCTGTTGCACCCCTGCCCCTCGCTCGAGCTGCGAGGCCTCGTCACAGCAAGGCGGACGGGCGACGCGCCCGCGGCGCGGCACGGCCCCAGCGGCCAGTCCGCGGAGCGCCCGGCCCCGGCTGACGCGCCTGGAGAGGCCCCTCAGCCAGGGGCGGCGTCCCCGGACCCCCTTGACCCACCAGACCCTCCCTTCCTCTATGTGCTGTTCACCTCCGGCTCGACTGGGGAGCCCCTGGGCGTCTGCGGCACCGCCGCCGGCCTCGCCAACCGCTGCCGCTGGGCGCAGCGCGCGTACCCGCTGCTGCGCGGGGACAGGGTCGCGCTCGCGACGTCGCCGGCGTTCGTGGACCATGTCTGGGAGGTGTTTGCGCCGCTGCTGGCCGGCGCAGACTCGGTGGTGCTGCCGGAGGGCTGGGCGCTGCGGCCGGCGACAACGGTCGACGCGCTGGCTGCGCACGGCGTGACACACTTGGTGCGCGCTCACTTTGTGCATAATTGAGTCCAAGGGGGCAGCTCGTCGCATGTGTGATCAACATGGAGCCTTTATGCAGTCAACCAAATAGGGGAAGCAGCTGTCAGGAAGGCGTGAAGCTCGCTCCTCGCTTGTTATTGTTCCATTCGCACCCCACGTCCGCTTTGTACACTGGCAGGGCAGCATTCCCTCGGTGCTGGAGCTCATGGCGCCTCACCTGGCGCAGCAACGCGGGCGGCTGGCGCTGCGGCAGGTGGTGTCAAGCGGGGAGCTGCTGCCTGCTGACTTGGCGGGGCGCCTGCTGGGGGCGCTGCCGCCCACTTGCCGCCTCCTCAACCTCTACGGTGGGCTGCACGATGCGCTGACAGGCGGTGCGCACTTGTGTGTGTGCTCACTCCTCACGTGGGAGGATCAGGATGAGGATTGTTACAACATCCCGCGGTCGCCCACTCCTGGAGCCATCCAGGCTCCAGTCATGGGATGTGGCGTTGTGGCATCAGCGTGGGAGGTGTCCAGTTTGTTACAGGACGCGCAGCTAACCGCTTTGCTCCAGCGCCTGCAGGTCCTGTCTCCGTGTATTGTTTGATCCTGTCACGCGTGCACCGACGCCCGCGCTCCCGAGTCCCAGGGTCGACCGAAGTGTCGGCTGACTGCGCGTGCCAGGATGTGCGGGCTTGGGCGGCTGGTGTCGTTGCCACGACGCCCGTGCCTAAGGTGCTCGCCGCTCCCGCGGCGAGGCCGGCTAGCGGCGGCGACGAGCATGGAGGGCCTCAGGCTCTTGGCCAAGCAGCAGCAGCAACAGCAGCAGCAGCAGCAGCAGCAGCAGCACCACCACCATCACCAGCAGCACCAGCAGCACCAGCAGCGACGAGCCTGCTGCAGAGCACCCTATGGGTGCCTGTTGGCCTTCCGGTCTCCAACACCCAAATCGCAATCTGCCGCGGGTCAGGAGTCAACGTCGACGACACCGGCGAGGCAGATGGGAATATGGCCGCTGAGCCTGGTGTCGGCCAGCCAAAATCCAGCATGCAGGCGGCTCCCGAGGCCGTGCCCTGGGGGCAGGCTGGGGAGGTCTGGGTGGCGGGAGAGGGCTTGGCGGCAGGCTACCTGTCGGCAGGCTCCGAGGCTGCGTCGCGCTTCAGACGCTTTGCCCTACGCCTGCCTGAGCTGACAGCACCGCTGGGCGCGCAAGGGGCCAGCAAAAGTAATCGGGTTGTCTCAAGCGCAGATGCGATGGACGCGGAAGCAGCCGCGGCAGGGGGTGAAACTGGCAGCGCGGCGGCCGCTCCGCCGTCTTGGGTTGCAGGGCCCGGCGGCGAGGCGGGCGGCGAGCAGGCGGAGCGGCGGTGGTTCAGGACTGGCGACTTGGGGCGCCTGCTGCCGGATGGTGAGCAGCCCCTGCCTGACCAGCTGTTTGAAACTTCGGCTTGCCAGCCCTTGACTGAATAAGGCGGCATAACCTCTTGCTGGTAGCTGTTTTGATGCATCCGCCATTTCCTGCCTGCCGCGGCGCCACCCCCCAACCTGCCGTCCCGCGTCACCCGGCCATCCCGCGCCGCCAGACCAATACCCAGACCCCTTGCCCCCTGCCGCCACCAGGGTCCCTGCTGATCCTGGGCCGCGCCGACCACCTGCAAGCCAAGGTCGGCGGCGTTAGGGTCGACCTCCTGGCCGTCGAGCGCTTTCTTGCCACCCAGACCGGCGTGGCGGCCGCCGCCGCACGTGTGTGGCCGCACCCGAGGCGGCGTCAGGACTCGCTGCTGGCCGCCTACGTGGTGGGGGACCAGGGGAATGAGGTGCTGCTGGAAGTGCAGCAGCAGGAGCAGCAGCAGCAGCAGCAGCAGCAGCTGACAGAGGGTGAGGCGAACGAGGGTGCAGACACAAACGCCGCAGCACCAGTCCAGCTCGTCGCCGGTCTCAGGGCAGCGGCGGCGGCCTCCCTTCCGTCCGCCGCTCGTCCCGCCGTGTATATCCTGTTGGACAGCCTGCCGCGGTCGGCTGCCGGCAAGGTGCTGCGCGGGCAGCTTCCGCCTCCCGCCTCTGCTGGTGGTGTCGCTGATGCTGCAGCCGGCCGTGCATCGACGGGCATGCCTGCAGCTACAGCCGCTCTTGTCGGCGAGCAGCCACGCCCGGCACCTGCCACGGCCGCTGACGGCAGCCTGCTGGTACCACTGGCGCCGCCACAGCATGCGAGGCCGGCCCCCTCAGAGTCGCAGGTGATGGTAGCTTTTGCAGCTGCGCTTGGCGCCGCACAGGCTGTCTCACTCGAGGCCACTTCTGACTTCTTCTCACATGGCGGCGGCGACTCGTTGGCAGCGGCCAAGGCGGCAGCTGGGCTAGGGATTGACGTTCGGCTGGTGTTTGCATACCCCAGCGCGCGCTCGCTCGCAGCGGCGCTACGGCTGCAGCGGCAGGCAGCGGTTGCTAGTGCAGGGGCAGCACGCCACGGCGGCAATGAAGGTCCAGGGCAGGCGGCAGATCAGGTGGAGGAGGAGGGCCTTGTGCCAGCAGCAAAGCGGCGGCGGTTGGTGTTTGAGCTGGGAGCGGCGCCGGTCCCCGCAGCGTCGACAGGGGTACAGCAGCAGCAGCTGCACCAGCAGCAGCAGCAGCAGCAGCAGCAGCAGCAGCAGAAGCAGCAGCAGCAGCTGCAGCAGCAGCAGCAGCTGCAGCAGCAGCAGCAGCTGCAGCAGCAGCTGCAGCAGCAGCAGCTGCAGCAGCAGCTGCAGCAGCAGCAGCAACAGCAGCAGCAGCAGCAGCAGCAGCAACAGCAACAGCAGCAGCAGGAACAGCAGCAGCAGAGCGATTATGCTGCCATTCGGTTGAGCAGCGGCTCAGAGCACAGCGAAGCCGTTGCAGGAGCAGCGGTGGCAGAGACGGCAGCAGCAGCAGCAGGAGGTTGCGCTGCCAAGGGGATGCTGCATAGTGCCCTGCAGGCAGTGATGTCGGGTATCATCTACGGCCCCGCCGGCCATCTGCGGCGTGTGCTGCCTGGCTCCACATGTGTCCCTGCCAAGTCCTTAGAAGCATTAACGGAGGAACCGATTTCAGCGGCTGCTTCATCATTGATATTGCCACCAGCAGCAGCAGCAGCAGCAGCAGCAGCAGCAGCAGCAGCAGCAGCAGCAGCAGCAGCAGCAACAACAGCAGCAGCATCTTCATCATCGGCAGCAGCAGCAGCAGCAGCAGGAACAGCAGCAGCAGCAGCAGTTACTGCAGCAGCCCAAACAGCACGTCCACCCGCGAGGCAGGGACAGCAAGGTCCCGACCGAGGCCCTTCCCTTGAGGTCGTGTGGCGACAGCCCCTGGGGCTGTGTGTCGATGCAGCGGCAGAGCTGATCACGCTCTACCATTCGCCGCCAGCAGGTGACAATGAAGGCCGCACTGCCGGGAGCGTCCAGCGGCAGCGATGCCACCCGGTTGCAGTCGCGCTTGCGTGCTCCCACAGCGGCGCCGCGGCGGCGTTCGACGCGGCCAGCGGCGCCTGCCTCTGGCGGGCGTCGCTGCCAGGGCGTGCTGACGCCGGCCTGGCGGCCGAGCCGCGCCTGCAGGAGGTCGCCGTTGCCTGCAGCGGCGGGCGGCTCTGCTGCCTGGACCTGGCCTCAGGGGCGCTGCTGCGGGAGGTCGGCTGCGGCGGCGAGCTGCGCGCCGCGCCCGCGGTCGACCCGTGGCCTGGGGTCGGGTGGTGGTGGATCGGCACGCATGGGCGGGAGCTGCTGGCGGTGCAGCCTGGGGAGCAAGGAGTTGTGCTGAGGTGGGTGCATCGCCGCACTTAGGGGCGCTAAATGGTTTTCGAGTGGCTGCATCTCGCTTAGCTGTGGCAGAACAAGGCGTGCAGCCTGGACTCACAGCAAGGGGATCCTGAAGGCATAGCACCTTGAGCCCGACTGCGTGATGCCTTCCAACCACACAGGTTCCCCCTCCCTGCGGCCTGCTCAGCTCACGTGGCGTTCTCGCAACCCCCCAGCCGCTCCGCCTTCGTCGCGCTGCTGGACGGCTCGGTGGCGGCGGTACAGCTGGCCAGCACGATGCCTGTCGGCAGCAGCGCCACTTTTGAGCTTCGGCAATTGTGGAGCAGCCCGGGGCCTGCGCCGGTCTTCAGCGCTCCGGGCGTCGCTCGAGGCCAAGGCGGTGGCGACGGCAGCGCGGTTGCGATGGGCCTTGGCACCCGGGAAGCTGTCGGGCAGCTGCTGGTGTGCGGCCACGTGGACGGCTGCGTCAGGGGCCTGCGGACCGCCAACGGCTCGGAGGCCTGGCGTGTCCAGCTGGCAGGGCAGCTGTTTGCTGACCTGGCGGTGGAGCCTGCAGGGCTTCCGCCCGGCTACGTTCTGGCGGCGACGCATGCGGGCAAGGTTTACTGCCTGGCTGCAGTTGATGGCGCGGAGGTGAGAGGGCGGCTGGCCGGCCGGTGTGGGGCTGGGACGAGCAAGCCGATGCTGCGGGCGGTGGGTTCGCTGCCATCCAGTCCGTGAGCCAGCCAGTCCATGTGCCTGGTGAGAAGCATAGAGTGCTGCTCTCTGGACCAACTGATTGCCGGCTGCATCACCGCGTCCCCTTCTCCCCATCCCCTTCTCGGACAGCTGTGGTGCGCTAGCGTCGGGGCAGGCCCCATCTCCGCGGCCCCGTCTGTGGCACCAGACGGGGCCGTCATTGTCTGCTGCAGTGGCGGGACGCTCGTGGCGCTGCATGGCGACAAGCAACCTTGGCGGCAGCAGCATGAGCAGCAGCTGGAGCAGCAGCTGGAGCAGCAGCTGGAACAGCAGCTGGAGCAGCAGCTGGAGCAGCGGCAGCAGCAGCAGCAGCAGCAGCAGCAGCAGCAGCAGCAGCAGCAGCAGCAGCCACCGGGGGCGGACCTTAGCAGCAGCGGCCGATTTGGCAACCGCAGCGACACCAGTGATCGCAGGTCACAGCTGGTCGCGTGCGCACAGCTGCCCGCAGACCTGTTTTCATCACCTGTGGCGGTGCCGGCGCCCTGCCACCCTCGGCCAGGCGTGCCCAGAGTCGCCGGGACGCTCATTGTATTCGGCTGCAGGGACGACCACTTGTACTGCGTGCGGCTGCGTGGGTAGATAGTATGTTTTGAACAGTGACAGCTCAATCGGTTCAACGTCGCTGCAGCTGGCGCTGGTTCCCTCTGTTGCTGCAGGTTGACATTGTTGAAACTGGAGAATGGCAGCGAGTTGAATTGCGCATGCAGCCGCTAGTCGGGAGGGCTCACGCTCCCGGCTGCACGTGGGTGTGACTGTGATATGATTACTGTGCAAGAGGCAGCGCAGCGCAGGCTCAGCGAAAGAGGCCCGCTGAAAAAAGCGGACAGCCGATCAACGCGGGACTTCCCACATCGATGCACTAGAGCCGCACACAGCACTACAGCAAGCCTTCCCAAACCAAGTGCGGAGCCAGCTGCAGGGCGCGAGGTGCAGGGCCTGCGCCAATACGCGCTGCCGCTGCCCAGTGCGCCCGCCCAACGCCAGGGAGAACATGACTTGGCAAACCGTCTCGACAGATGCGGCTGCCCGCGGGCAGCGCGGTGGCGGGCCGCAATTGCAAGGCGGCCTCCCCGCCGCCGTGCGGTTGCCCGGCCGCCGCCCACGAGCGGGATCAGCTCCGCCTTGGTTTGCGTGGGGCTGCAAATCATCAAGGAACACAATCGAATCTCCTGAAGTTGCAAGCCAATTAAAGAAGCCGCAAAAAGATAGTACAAATCCAAGCAAGAAGCTCCACAACATGAAACCCAAACAAACAGGGTTTCAGTGCATACCAGGCACACGCTGCTCGTGCCCCGATCCTCTCTGCATGCTGGTGCCCGGCGCGGCCCCGTGGCGCGCCCATAGAATGGGGCCAAGCCACCTGCCAACGTTTCTAGAATCGCCGCGTTTATGCTCCCGCGACCCTCCCCGTTGCCCCACCCCACGGCTCCTGCTGACGTCTGACATGGAAAAACGCGACACATCTCGCATCACCCCGGGCGCGGCCGCCTGCTCCCGCCGCACGCCCACCCGTTGCTCCCCGCGCCCGGCCGCCACCGTGCGCTCAGTCCCCGCGCGCCGCCAGCGCCGCCTGCCGCCGCGCCTGGTGCGACAGCGCGCCGCCCAGCACGAGCCGCGTCTCGTCCTGAGTGCGCGCGCGAGGGGGCCATAAAATGCAGGCGGTGGGGTCAGCAGGCCGGCCGGCCGCTCGGGAGCCACCGCACAATGACGTGGCACTGTATTCAGAGGTCCGCTGCAGGACGCCTCCGCGTGGCCTGAAAGCCTTGTGCTCCCACGCACCCAGACACTGCAGCAGAAAGCACGCCTGCCGATCCTCAGCCTGCCCTGGGCTCCAGCGAGCATACGAGCCGTGGATGTTCACGGCCGCCTTTTGGAAGGTGGCGGCGTTGCGCACCTGGTACGAGTCCAGGCGGAAGCGCATGCGCAGGTTGGGCACGTTGGTCTTCTGGATGTCGTTGCCGTCCGGGCCCGGCCGCCAGTACTCCTCTGCGGGTCAAACGAAGCAACAAAGTGTTGGATATATATAATAGTGAGCTTGGACTTTGAGGGGAACCTGAAAGCTGGGTGTGGAAGCTGCGCTCGCTGTGAGATTGGCTACTCAAATGTTGGCTCAAGTGCAGGCGGGTGGTGGGAGCCCCTAAGCACCCATGAGGCCCAGCAACGGATCCACGCGACTGCTGCTGCCGCGCATAGACGCGCCAACACAAGCAGGGAGCGCACCGAGGCATGCAAGCGGCCGCTGGGCGCGCGTGGCTTGCCCATAGCACCCCTGGCGCACCGGCCCCCCGCGCTCACCCGCGACCCAGTGCTTCTTGCAGGCGTGCGGGAAGCCGCTGTGCAGCACCCCGTTGCGCGCGATCTCGCACAGATCAGTGGCGCTCAGCTTCCACACCTGCGTTCAAATTCGAATTCGCAAGAGGGCCCAGGAGCACGCGAATGGGTTCGAGCGGGGAGCGACGCACTGCGAGCGTGACCGAGGCAAGGCAGTTGGCGGCTGGCAAGCCGCTTGGGGTGTTGGCGGTGGGAGCTGGGTGGATGGGTTTGCCTTGTGCAGGCACCTTGTGCAGGCAGGAGGCTTTAGTGAGGGGGCGGGGC